GACCTTGTGACACTGAAATTCAAAGTTATGAAAAATAGACTCCTATGAAGCTACTCATTACCAGGGTGTCTGAGAGCAGCTCCCCGGCTTTGGCTCAGAAACCTATATAATTTGGGACTCAGAGGTTTAACCCCCATCTATCAGTCTTGGGACAATATTCATGGAATTTCATTTTGCATAGAATCTAATAGAGGAGTCCCAGACCGCAGCCCTCTGGCCCATCTGTGGTTTTATAGGGGCGGCTGATGGTAAATTAGATCCATTCCCTTCTATTGGATGTGTTGTCATTTTTATGACTTTGGGGTTATATAAACAGGAGAGGGAGAGAAAGGGAGCGGGAGGGGGAGGAGAGAAGGGGGGAGCCCATTAGCCCACAATTGCTAAATTTACTTTTTCCTTCTGTGTTTTAAATGCCGGTTGGTTTGTAGAATTGCTCGCAGTTTGGGCTTTGGCTTGGAATGCAAACCCTGCAGACACACTGCAAACGGCTTTCAACATGTGTCAAAACCAAAGTTAAATAATAATAATACAAAACCCTAGGGAGGGCTGGGGGTGTGGGACTTGGGTTTCTGCACCCTGTGGCAAAGGAGGAAAGCGGCAGGGGATTTTTAAAATTCTAGTCAATTTTGTGTGTGTGTGCGCGCACCTGTGGGTGTATTTGTGTGTATGTGTGTGTGCCTGGGGCGTGATTAACCCTTTGGCTACTGTCTATGTTTTGAATTGCTTCACCCAGTGACTGTTGCACAGAGGGGCCTGTTCACACCCAGGACTCCATAATGAGCAAGAAGCTACGGGGCCTGACCCATCCCGCTAGCGATGTGCATGGGTCTCTAGATAACAGAGAACTTCTGAGCTGTGGAGGCTGGGTGGGGAACATCAAATCCTGATTCCATCCCTCACCACCCTGCGAAGTGCGGGACAGGAGGGGTGATCTTCTGGCTTTCTTTGGCACATCTCTAATGACTATCTCCACTGGATGCTGCTGTTCTCTTTGCTCTCCTGCTGGACTGAAGACCAGCCCAGAGATTGACCGTGACAAGCTGTGGGAGGCAAACAGAGACATCTCCCAGTGTTTGGGATTGAGACTCCTGCTCTGCAATCGTTTCCTCGGTTTGCTCTTTTGCCCTTTTTTGTGACCTCATATTGGAAACTGGTCTCTGCCTTGCTCACGCATCCACACCTTCGAGGTCTCTGTGATCAGATGTCTTCCTAGGAGGCATGTAGGTAACATAGACTGCTCGCCAGCCAGTAATCCCATCCAAACTCACAAGCCAAGGAGGGCTGAGGTGAAGTTGGCCAGTATTTTGATAGGAGACCTGCAACGAAAACTCCGGGTGGGGCTTTCGGTGGCATTCATGATTCAGCAGGTGGTGCACTTCTTATTGAACCAGTGTGTTCAGAGGCACTGTGCTTCTGCAGCTGAGGTCTTTTGGCTGACCTGCAGAGTCGTGTAAAAGTGTGTGGTCATCCTAGATCGGGCAGGCCTCTTTCCCAGGAGTAGAGGAGTTCTCCTGAGTCACGTAGCCAAATGCCAACCTGCGTAATGACATTCTGCTTCACTAAATTCCCACTTATAGTTTCAACTGGATATGTTGTTCTTCATTTCCTCTTTTAAACTAGGATGTAGTTAATATAATAGCGATTAGCTGTTAAATAGCTAATATGTTCCACTTCAGAGGTGGCTGCATTTAAATGGTGGGTAAAGTTGTAATGTAATGTTATTGTGTGTGTTGTAGGTTACTGTCTGCAGGCTACAGAGAAGATAAAAGCCCTACTTCTGGTGAGGGCTAATGGAGATTCTCCATTAGCTCAAATAGTAGGCGCTTGTGTTTTGGGAACCTAAGGTTATAAATTTATTCCTGACAAGGCATATGTACAGTGTAGCTCGCAATTCTGCTGTTTGTGTCTATGGCTTCATTACAAAGCGATGCCTGTGTGCTGTATATGGCTTGTGAAATGCTTTGGGATCCTTTGGGATGAAAGGTCCCTGTATAAATATAAGATCGTTATCATTATGCAAACAGTCCTGGAAGGGCTCTCCCACACTGACAAGCTGGCTAGGCACAGTTGGGGTATGTGTGTTTTTTCTCTGCTAATCTGTCACTTTGTAACCCTAGACCCAGCTGCACTGAAAGCTCTCACTCACACCAGCTCTCAGCCCCAGTCTTGGGGCACTGGCTGGATTGCTATTGATGTGTTTATCCTAAGGGCACTCTCTTTACAGGTTCCCTGCATCGGGAACTAGCTTCTCTCAGTGAATGCACACACTTCCTGTCACCATGCCCAGGAGTTACATGCATGCACTGAGGTCAAGCATCCACCCTCTGAAAATCAGGCCCCTTTAAGGTGTCTCCAGTTGGGCACTACAAACCAAGGCCCTCAAAATCACTAGTCACTTTTGAAAAATGTTGGCCTACATAATTGTAAAACCTGGAATGTACACTCTTCATGCACCTTGTCTGTTGTTTGCATTTCACTTAACTTGGGCAATGGAGTCTGGTCAGTTTCAATTTGGTTTAAGTTATATTTTTAGCCAGCCTCCCTTTGTGGCACTCATGCAAACCCTGCAAGAGAATGTTTATCTCCAAACAACTAACAGTTTCAATCAATGTTTTGTAAATACCACAAAGACTTTTCTAATATTTGCTTTTGTAAAAAAAAAAATTAAACAAATATTAAAAATTGGCTCCAAATTTCCAAAAATGGAACCTCCCCAGGTATATTTCTCACTGAGAACAACATACAAACCAAGGCTCAAACTTTCCAGGAGCCATGTCCTAATTTTCCAAGTTTTTTCTTAGCACCTTAGAACACTTCTCCCAACATCTCCCGGGTAAAGTGTTGGAAAGATTTGTTACAAAACTTTCCATAAATATCTCTTTGGGGGCTGAGACCAGTTATGAAAGAGAAGTTTAGTCCCTGATGTACTTTTATGTGAGGTGTAACTGAGTAAAACAAAAAAGGATGAGAACCTCTTCGAGCCACAGCATTGCACTGTGCAGAACTCCCATTCATATGCATCTGTAACATATATATAGAGAGAGGTTGTTAGCTTAAACAATCGCCTCTCAATCAAGCAGGAGAGGCCTGTGGGTTTGTAGCTAAAATTACTGAGCTCTAGTCCCCACTGCTACACTGTCCTTATGATTTATGGAGCACCATAAATGGATGCAGTACTTTATCAGAGATAGACCGGACCAAACAAAGAACAGATTCTTTATCCCAAAGAGCTAAGGCCCGACTGATTGCCATACCATATACAACAGTATGGACAGGTACAGTACAGATAAATGTACAGGGATTCTGTGGTCATTGTAGCTGGAATGCTGTGTGCAACAGGAGGGTTTGCAGGAGTTTGTTGAAGGAGGAGCAGGAAGGAGTGTGGCCGGTGGCAGATATCAGCTAGGAGGCTGCTTCAGGCATATACCATCCGTGGCCACCTAGGAGATCCTGGTTGCCACTATGCTGCATTCCATGTCCAGTCAAACTTTGCAGAGGCAGCGGGGGCAAAACTCAGGTCCCGCTGCTCCTAGCACTGACGCTAAAGGAGAATTTGTGTGGCAGTACAAGGCCTGTGAAACACAGCTGAGCAGTTCTCATTACATCTAGTAGAGGGCAGGCACACACATAAGCGTTGCAGTTATGACAGCCCAACCACATGAAAGAAACAAAGGAGACAGCCAGAAGTGGGGGCTTGGACACGTGCATGTGGTATCGCTGCCCATTGAGGTGTGATTTGAAGCCACAGCCATTTGATAATGGGAACTGAGCGCATGGACTGTTCCTGCATTCTTTAGCCCTCTTAGCAGCAGGGACAGTTAATCCGCATCAGTATTGCCTTGGGATACCATCATGTCCTGGAGAACACATCCTATCCCATGCCGCAATCATTCTGTGTACTGGTGAACCCAGAAAGTTATTCTGCATTTAGTGTTCAGAGGAACTGACCCAGGGGAGAAAAGCATTACAAACGGCAGAGTTATCCTCATCTGGCTAGGGGCCCGCATTTTCTAGATTCACCCTGGTTTTCATGGGTGACCCCCTGTCCAGTAATGGATCCTGAAACGTCTTTCGGCGCTCACAGGACATCAGCATGTGGCAGCCGCGTGGCCTGAGATGCTGATGATCTGGTGACAAGCAGATGACATTATATCACAACCTGAGGTGGTGGCTTCTGGGGAGACGTCGTCACGTTAGGTCACTGTGGGACAAAATTCAGATCCATCTTGATACACTGGAGCGACAAGGCAAAGGTTACACGTTTTGATGCAGCAGGATGACATCACACCGAGGCCATGATGCAAGACAGCGGAGTAACAGCCTGACCCAGGGGCACGGTGCCCGGGCCACTGGCCGGGGAATGATGCGATGGCATGGCTGGACTGCAATGGCATGGTTCCACGCAGTGCTGTGATGTCACACATCACAGTGACATCACGGCTCACGTCACAGCGTGTTGACGCGGCGACGTCACGCCATCACAGGGCGATATGGTGACACGAGACCAGCAAGCAACGTTGTCATGGCGACATCGCCGCAGGTGGTGCCCTCCGGCAGGGGCCCCGCCCAGCGAGCTGCGGGCGGGTCCGCCACGCCGGCAGGAGCGGCGCACACCAGGCCTCTGCGGGGCCCGCTCTCTCCTCTCGTCTCGCTGGTGCGGCCCCTCGCTTCCCGGAAACGCCAGCGGAGCAGAACCCGGAAGTGGCGGGTGGTTGGGCCGGGCTCGGCGCTGCCGTCGGGAGAGCGGCCCGCGCGGAGGGAGCCTGTCCGGGGAGCATGGGGCGAACCGCGCGGGGAGGCCAGCCGGGCGGGCACAGCGAGACTCGGGCCCCCGCCTGAACCCAGGGCCGCCGCCCCCGGGTCCCCCCCCATCGCTTGCCCTACCCCCCATCCGCCCCCCATCGCTTGCCCTGCCCCCTTCCCCCCTGATCTGCCCCCCCATCGCTTGCCCTGCCCCCTCCCCCTGGGATCCGTCCTCCCATCACTTGCCGTGACTCCCCACCCCGGAGCTGTCCCAGTTTCTGTCGGGGAGCCCATCCCCAGGCCTCCTTTCCCCTCCCCTGGGGCTCCCCGGTCCCTTCCGACCCTGCTTTTGCTCCGTCCCCGGGTGGTCCAGGCTCCAGCCCCACTCGCCATGGCGTCCTCTGCAGCTGCAGGGTCCAACTGGGGCCTGATCATGAACATTGTGAATAGCATCGTGGGGGTGAGCGTCCTCACCATGCCCTTCTGCTTCAGACAGGTGAGTGCGGGCTCTGGGGGTGGGCTGGAGCTGGAGCTGGCACCCGAAGCCTACACGTGGCAACATGGAAAACATTTCTCTGCCCCGCACTCTCTCATCTGCGAGAGATCTGGTGGTTACAGCAGGGGACCTGAACTGCTGCATTCAGGTCTCACCTCTGCCATGGATTTGATGTGTGTCATTTTGCCTCTCTGTGCCTCAGTTTCCTTGCCTTTAAGACGGGGGTAATACTTAATAGGGTTTGTGAAGAGTGAGTCACTCAGGAGTGTAAGAAGCACCGAGGCCTTTGGGTGAAAGGCACCGTAAGACTGTGTCAACGCGAATACGTTTGGGGAATTGCACTAGCACTAGGTGCAGGTCTATGGCGGGTAGCTACAGTAGGAGCGCTGCTGCTGACCATTTACCGCTCTGTTACCTCATAGCAGGGACAGAGAACTGGGTCGTTAGGATTTCATCAGCCAGTCTTGACTGAGGTTCTCGCTGTTGGTAGTACCAGAGGTGGTGCAATGGCAGGAGGTTTCCCAATATTGCCAGTGTAGATAAGGCCTTGAAGAGCGAAGTATTCCTAGCCGGTGCGAAGGGGTACAGCACTGTTAATAAAGGGTGGCACGAGGCCATTGGTGCTGGCAGGTTTTGTCAAAGGAGCGGGCTGTCAGCAGTGACTTCCAAGAGAAGATGACATCTGATGTACCTTTGGATGGCGGCTGTTCTAGTTTGCAGGTAGCGTGAGAAAAGCACAACACCGGTAGTGGGAGGAGACAGAGATACAGTTTACATTTTCAGCTTTTTCTCTTCTGGGAATAGATTCTGTTGTATCTACTTGCCTTTGAGATGTAGAAAAATGGATGTACGTTATCACTAACTTTAAGAAAGCCCACAAGCATGCTGGGCACCTTGCAGTACAGGCAGAAAGGCGTGGTCCCTGCCCCAAAGAGCTTATGCAGTGTTGTTGCAGCCACGTCAGTCCCAGGATATTGAGAGAGAGAAGGTGGGGGAGTTAATAGCTTTTATTGGACCATCTGCTGTTGATGAGAGACACACCCCAAAGATCTTCATCTGATTTGACATGTGGTATAACAAGTAACTGACAATTGGAGGGGGGGGAGAGGTTTGCTGAGAGATGTTTACTCAGCCTGTTGGTATGCACATGCACTGGTAGTTCAACCTTCTCTTTACTACTTTAAACCACTGGTGACAGGAAGTTGTGCCCATTATACAGTTCACTTGCAGAGTGAGGGGATGCTCCAGCAGCTGACTGAGACGGATGTTCTCATTTGCCCGACCCACCTTCTCCTTTGGAACAAGGCCTTCACCCAGTAGCTTCTCCCCAAGTGTGAATAAAAAACCAGGAAGTCGACATCCTTACCAGTGTTGTGCAGCCTGTCAACCTAGCTGGGTTTTAAGGCATTGCACACCAAGCCATAGGCTCTATATGCAAAGAGATGAGCTTTTCCTTGCTTTTCCTGTTCACGGGGTGCCAGGAGCCCCAGGGACACACCTGCTTTGAATCAAATAGAACAGTGTGTAGCCACAGTGAGATTTGACACCACTTATGCCTGTTTAAAGTCACTTGTTTTCATAACTGTTCAATGATTAACACTGTCCTCTGCAAACATGTATGAATCAGTGAGCCAAACAATGCTGGGAGGGTAGATAGCTAGCTTCAGAATTTGTGCTGTAAATGTATTGAACAGCCCCTGGTGCTCGTGGGTAGGTGTTATGACAGATTTTTAACTCCTGGATCTACAGAATAACTACTTGCTTTACATGATTCTGTTATGAACTGTAGAGAACACTGCTGGAATGTGCCCTGAAACTGACTAGATGGCAGGACGCAAACAGTGTTACAGCTTGAAAGTTCTGTTTCATAAATTGCCCAGGTTTCACTTCTCCAGGCAAAAGTGTTGCAACTGAGCCATTTAGGAAACAGGTGGCTGCTCTGTGACTCTGCCTCAGACTGGGGCAAGTGAGTGAAATTGAACTAATACGTCACATTTCTACTGGCTGTAGTTGAAGGCAAGGGAACTCCCTTAATAGGCTAAAATGGGGCTGGAAATGTGCAAGGGAGCCTGTAGGTGATCTGGGAGAGCAGTAAGAATGTGTGAAGTAGCAGTTGCACCAGGAAAATGGCTTGCTTTCCATCTTGTGCTTGTATTTTTTTTTTCTTCCCATGCAGTGTGGCATTGTCCTGGGAGCCTTGCTGCTGATTTTCTGTTCCTGGATGACTCATCAATCCTGTATGTTCCTGGTGAAATCGGCCAATCTTAGCAAGCGCAGGACCTATCCAGGACTTGGTGAGAATTTTCAGCTCTTTGGCTTCACTTTTTTGTATATATATATTTTTTTTAACTGCAGTTTTACTCTGACCTCTTAATTTACAACTTTCATACTAATAGTGCTGAATTATTAACATTATTTCTGGCATAGTTTTTACTGTGTTTTGCCTTCCTTGTTTATCCCTTCCTCCTGCTTCTTGTCACCAGAGGAATCTGAGGGTTTAATTCTGCCTTTGATTGTGAAGTTAATAGGCACAGAATTGTTTTGACTCGGCAGTGCAGGAGGAGGCGCTGTGGTGCTGAACGATCAAAACGCAAGGTCTCAGGAGCTGGCATAGTGGGTGTCTGCTGTAAATTATTGGTCTCTGTATGAAACCCACTAGCCTCCCCAGCCAGTGTGCTGCCGAGGACATTGGGTTCTGCCAGTTGAGTGCCTGGCATAGAGCACAGGCTTCCTGGATCTCAACTGTCTGAGTGCTTATGGCAGAGCAAGGGGGAGGTGAGAGAAAACAGTGCACAAAGGTCCAAGTGGCCAAGAAAATAAAACCATGAGCAAGATTCATGTGTGAGATTTTGGCAGAGTTCACCATCCCTCTTCCTTCTAGTTTGTCTACTCGGCATTGGCACTGGTATTGGCATCTATTTATGACCTCTCCTCTGATTCCCAAGGATACTGGGGTGAGGAGACGCTTGGGTCTGGCCTCAGGAGTTTGAATCCTCTTGATCAACACATACAATTAAGAGTTGCTGATTGAAAGCATTCCCTTCCTGGGAAACCACGGAGATCCAGGCGGAATAGCCCCTATTTGAGCACCAGGGGTTAGAAATCCTTCCCTGTGCTTTTTCAGCCTTCACCTTTGCAGTGGTGGGATTTCTTCCTGCAGGTGATGGAGATGGAAGATTCTCATAGCTGGAAGTCCCTTCCTGTGACCTTAAGCCCATCCTTTGTGTCCCCAATTGCCTAGTTGCCTTCAATGTAACTTCTCCTGGGAGTCGGTTGAGAGAATTGGCTGGTCTCACTGTCTACAAAAGATTTGAAAGCAATATGCAGTCTGCTCAGTGTCCATGCTGTTGACAGATGGATCCCCTCAGTGCATTAAATGACTGAGACCCATCATTTAGCTGCACCGTGCAGCTTCTGCCAAAATGTATCGACCAAAAGCAGAAAAGATGAGAAAACTCTTGTGGTCTCAAAGGTTGTTCCTCTGCTACTGAAAATATGGCTCAATTATAGCTGAGCCTTCAGGTGGAGTCTCACACGGCCCAGCGTCCCCAGTACCAGCTGCCCATAGCTCCTCTTCCACCCCCTTCCTCGTTACAGTAAGCCTTTGTGTGCTGCTTCTCTCTTGTTGAAATACATAGAGTCCCCCTTCACCTTGGAGTGTCTCCCAGGAAGACGAGATCCTCTGCACTTTCCAAAGCCAAGGAGCTCAAAGACACAGAGGGCCAGTTATGCTTCCAAACTTCCTGGCACCTCCTGTCACACAAATGCTGGCACTGAAAGAAGCGCCGTCCCTTCCTCCCCATCTTTGCCCTGGGAGAGGTGCCACCACAAGCAGCCAGAGGAGGGACAGCGCTGAGAGGAAAGACGTCCTCCGCGCGAATGAAAGCAGTGCTCCTACAATGCATCCTAATGCATCAAGGTTGAGCGACTATACACAGACAGTCTTTGTCACCGTTTGCTTGTACGCTGTACATCTGCGAGAGATCCTGGCAGCTCCTGCAGCTGATTCTGTGGGAGGCTTTGGCAGCTCTGAAAGATGCAGGAAAGTTTTGCAAATTAACTTCAGTCAGCTAGTCCCTTCCGGAAGAACATTCAGATCACTAGATGCAATAACAAAAGAGCCAGGGTCGTGGCGGTCTAGGATAAACACCTTAATTTATGCAGCAATTCCCAACGGAGAGAATATATGTATTCTAGCTTTTACAGCTATTTCCCCCTTCGCTCTCATTTAGCAGCTGTCAGTGCACAGCAGCGGTGTACAACACGTTAGGATCTTAAGAAGTGAATATTGTATCCAAGTGAGTCTGCAGTGGGAATTCGGGAGGTGGGATGGAATTACCGCAGCTAGAGTTTGACCAGGACAAGAGTTAAAGCAACTCCTTGCTGCTGCCAAAAGTGCGGTGGGATCTTTAAAGACTACTGGTGCTCAGGACCAGCGCCTCGTCCGCTAACAGCAGGACGAGGCACATGGCATTGAGACGAGTGCCATGTGCTGAATCACCAAGGCCACTGTGTAGCAACCTTGGGGTTTATTGTGGAAGAGCCTCTCCAAATACCGACCAAATCCAGCTGTGCTCAGCTGGTGAGATTTCTGGAGTGGCTTGGCTGAGTAATTCTGCACAGTCCATCTCCTCCTTCCTCTTTGAGAAGATAAAAGATCCAATTTTCCTAGCAGCCCCAGATGGGGACATCTGGCATACCATGTTTGAAGACTCATTCTCATTAAATATTATTTCAGAGTAGCCAAGGACACTGATCATTTCATAAAATCCCACGCCTAGACTGTAACCAGTGTCCGTCATTATTGCCTGGAGGTGCCTGCACTTCTACACGCTGTAAAAAAGAGATTTATTGGGGTGATGCAATAGCAGCCATCCTTTGTGGAGATCAGGTCATTTAACAAGTCATCTCCAGGAAGGTGATTTTTCTTTTCCTGGTTGCTCATCTTCCTGCACGCCCAGTCCTCAGGTACACACCACTTAACTGTCCCACTCAACATCTGCTTCCCCTTTTTGCCAGGACCCTTCATGCAGGGACAAGACAAAGTCCAGAGGTATTGCTTGCTCATCCCTTTTAAATATTGCAACCTCTCTGCACGGACAGGTGGTGCCCAGGAGCGCCAGAGATCTAACAAAGTCTGGATTTCACCCTACTTTTTACCATGCCATTGGCTGCCTTCTGAGTTACTCAGTAGGTGTCTTCCCACACACTTTCCTTCCCACTATAGAGGTGGCCAGTTGATTTCCTTCATTTTCAGACTAGGGAGGTTCCAAGGAAATATGGGATGTATGATAACGTTGAAGGTCATAGAAGGCACTTCCAGAGATGAACAAACTATTTCTTGGCCACCTTCAGGCACGTATACTGTACAGCCACTGGTAGAGAAACTCAGCGGGGAAAAACAGGCCGTTCTTTGCTTGCTTCTACTAGAGTTAGTTACCCAGGACTAATGCAAAAACAATGTGGTCTGTATTCGAACTGGAGGTCTTAACTGCTCCAACCCCCCAGTAAGATGTCTCCAAAAGTAAAAGCCGAGTTTTCCTGGCTCTTTCTTTTCAGAAAACACAGTCATTGAAAGGATACTGATCATTTTCTGCTACAAGCTACGGCCAAAGTATAGAAAAAAAAGTCTCTTGGCAAAATCCCTGTGGTGTGGGTTGTGAATGCTGGGTATTCTGGGAATGGAATTGAACATTCTGGGCACCATTTCAGATCTCCCATCCAGCAACATCAGGCGGCTCCGTTATAATGGGAAGGAAAAAATAAAAATGGGACCTTGACTGAAATTTTGCACTGTAGTAACTTTTTGTCACACAACATCTTATACATGCATATTTCCTCTTCCACGCTGACTTTCTTCTTCTGATGGTTGCCATGTGGAACTGCTACTTAGCGCTGGTTTTTTTCCCTCAACAGAGTAAAAAAAGAACCTGCTTTGTATCTTTCCTTCATCTTTGTTCTTGTCCTATGTGGGTTTTGATATTCGGCTGGCATGTCCGAAAAAAGAAAATGGGAGGGTGGGCAGGAGAAACCAGCCCCAAAATGCAAAACTAGCAGATTCCTGTCAAATTGCCCTTCATCATGATTATTGTTAATTTCAAACTGATGTATGTTTCACAGGCTGCACCCTCCCATGGCTCACTGTGGTGTTTTTTCTCTTTTGCTAGCATTTCATGCCTATGGAAAAGCAGGGAAAATGCTGGTGGAGACCAGGTAAAGAGCTATTCCTTTAAAATCGAAATAGTTTGGATTAGTTTATTTCTGTTAATAAAAGGCTTTTTTCCAAACCCCTACAGGGCAACTGCCTCACCATGTCTTTATTTCTTCCCCCCCTGCTTTCTCTTCTTCTGAAAGCCTCCCTTGACACCTGGAATTTGGGCTGATCGTGAGCTAAACTACAGTACTTGAACTGTACTGAACTTTCACTTCCATTGTCTGCTTTGTAAGACATTCATTCAGACAGTTGGGTCGGTAGCTCCCTTTGTTTCTGAAGGGAGAGGCAATGTTGTCTAGTAGTGAGTGAGGGACTGGGATTCAGGAGACCTGGGTTTCATTCCCTCTTCTGCTACACTTATTATGAACCCTTGGTCAAATCACTTATGGTGTGATTTACAGAGGTGATGAACATAACACTGAAATCACAGAAGTTGGGTGCATTTAGTACCTCTGACAGTCAGCCCATTAGCCTGCCTTGTGCCTCAGTTTCCCCCCTGTAGACTAGGAGTAACACTGATCTGCCTTAGTAAAGCTCTTTGAGATGCAAATTAATAGAAACCGTATCTGTTCGGGATGGTGGGGTGGAATCCTGATTTCATTTAACAACAGCGTAGGCCAAGGTCTCTGACTCTTGTAACTATAACATTTCTGTTCTTAAAAATGCTATTCACGAAGCTTCAAAGGACACATAGTAGAGCTGGAACAGTCTGGTTGGCCTTACGTCACTGTTCCAGGTGAGGGGTGGCATTGCAGCCCATTCTGTAGAGCAGAGGGTCTTGCGCTGTGATCTGTGGAGGTCTGGCTGATGTCTTGGTTCTGGCCCTCCTCCTTATTCCCAGCTGCTAAACTGCTGTAAGACAGCTAAAAACACACCAAGTACTTTTCTAATGTTACTTTTCCATGCAAGCAATAGCTGTGATTATCACAGGGATATTATATGATCAGAAATGGGAGGTGAAGTGGTCCATGCAACCGTGAATGGGAGGGGGAAGTGGTTCATGAGACAGTGTCCTCATTAAAATCTGGTCAGCCCTGTGCAAATGTCTGCAAACCTCTGTACTGCAGTATAGATTTCAAGCGCAGTCCATTACTGCTGATTGCGGAGTGAGCTAGTCTTGGGCTCCAAATACCTCCCTGTACCCTCACTACTATGATCAATGTTTAAGAAATGCAGAATTGTCATCTTCAAGGGACACTCCCAAACTGAGCTCCCATCCTTGGCTCCCAACAGCGGTTAAACTAACTCACATGCTGTTAGCAGAACTCTGCGGGTCCTTGGCAACTCTACAAAGACTTTGCACACAGGAGGAAATAAACTGGATGGAGCTTTGTTGGCTTTGGCTACACTAGAAATCATGTGGGCATTCGTGTGGGTGGACTTGTGCCTCTGTATGTGGTCCCATTGGGGTTCCACTCGGGGACGGGCTCTGCATGCCTGGATATTGTAAACTCCTTGAGTGCAGCCATGTTCTCAGCACTGAACAGGGCACAGAGATGTGCAACAGGCTTGCAAAACGTAGGGTTTGTCTACATGGAGACCTTCGGGAAAGCCAAGCTGAATTAACTAAAGGTGTCAGTTTAAAGTGCATTAGTTAAAACATATGAAACCCCTGTGTGGATGCTCTCATTTAGAAGTCAAGTGACTTTAGGCCATGCCTATACTATGAGGATTGTAGCATGTAGCTTTGGCTTTGTAGTTATGCTGGCATAACCCAGTAGTGTAGACGCAGCCTGCAGTGACAGAAGGGGTTTTTCCGTTGCTGTAGGAACACCGCGTAAGGTCCCTGAGCGATGGTAGTTAGGTCAATGGAAGCATTCTTCCCTGGACCTCGCTGCATCTACACCAGGAGTTAGGTTGGCATAGTTACTGTGCTCAGGAGTGTACCGTAGCTATATCAACCTAAATTTTAAGTGTAAACCAGACCTTAGTTTGGTTTAGCTTAATTCACTCAACTACTCCACTTTAAATTTACACCTTTAACGAATTAGGCTTAGCTCTCCTGCGTGTCCAACTGTAGACAAGCCCTTGTACTGCGACTGCTTAGAGTAGAATCCCAAACTGTTCCAATTGACTTTTGCTCCACTTGGTTGGCCTTCCTTTGCTATCAGTGGTAACAGCAATGGGAGCTGTGGTGCAGGTGAAGAGTCAGTGGCCACTGGCATTTTAAGAACTGTGCCCTCCAGATCCCTCTGAGCTGGGGACAGACAATAGAGTGGTTAAGACACCAGTGTCTGGTCTACACTCCTACTGCCACCAGGGCAGCTTCACTTTTGGTAGCGACGGCGAGAAATTTTCCAAAGAGGAGTCCAGTGTAGATGTAGCCATGGTGAGGGTTGCAAAATGCTAATCCTCTAGGAATGCAGCCGTTATTACTTGCAGGTATGTGGTAAGTGCTGCATTCCAAGGGAGTTCTCTGCTCCAGAGTGGAATTTAGATGTCAAGCTTTTCATTTGTGTGTGTTTCTTTCCAGCATGATTGGGCTGATGTTGGGAACCTGCATTGCTTTCTACGTTGTGATTGGTGACTTGGGATCAAACTTCTTCGCCCGGTTGCTTGGACTACAGGTAAACTTACGATCACTTGTACTTGTCCAACAGTTTAACGAGACTGTGATTGTTGGATAAGTACATCATGCAGTGTGTGTTATGATGCCACAGAGAGCAACCCGCCTTAATAATCTCAGCAAGCTACATCCAGGTAACTTACTATTCTCCCACTTTAAAGCTTAATGGCAAGTGTCATGCACTAGAACATGAGAGCAGCTTGCCATGTCAACACCTGGGAGTTCTGATGCACGTCAGACAGTGGGATGTATACAACTCCTGACAGGAAACAGCACGTGCATGAAAATAACTCTGTTAAAATATGTCTCTGTCATGAAATATGTGGCCTGCTGCAAATCCCAAGTCAATTTTCTGCAGGAGTTGGTACATTCTGTCCCTCTTCATTTGCTCAGCCAGAAACTAAAAAGCAGTGACATAATTCTTCTACCCAAATCCTCATCCCCATTTACCATTCTAGTTCAGAGTCCTCCTCCCGCTCCCAAACTACAGTACTTTGGGGTGTGAAGAGGAAGGATCAGGATACCTCAGGCACGGCTGATCTCTTCACCTCTTCAAATTAAAATACACGCAGTGACTCCTCCCCTGCCCCACTTTATGTTGATACTGTTTCTGAGAATGCCTCTTCCTGCCTCTGATGGGAGAGGCACTCTGTTCCCTGGCACACAGCTCGCCAAAGGAATAGTCTGCAGCTTTTGGAGCTGGGATGGGGCAGGCTGGGGACGTGAAATGGACATGTCCCAGGATCTTGGCGTGGCTGTTATCTGCTCCAGCCTGATGCTGTTAAGCTCTGATTAAGGAACTGTGAAGTTAAAAAGATGCATTGTGGCTGCAGCCAAATTAGTTATTAAATATTTCCAGGCATTTCAGAGTGTTCTGCTATAATAAATACCAATATGAGTTTCTGATTAATTTTCTGGATCAGAATTTTCAAGACTTCCATTTCTATTCTCTTCCCCCCCCCCCCCCCTTTTTTTTTTTTTTTTTTTTTTTGACGCAAGGTTAATTTTCATTTATTTGCTGGAAGTGCATACAAAATATTCAAATAGTCTGTGTTTGGATTATTGTTTAAACCCCCAACAAATCTGCTTTAGAGCGAGTCTGGCATGAGGTATATAGAGCAACAGTGGCACCCAGTGACTGTCTAGGTTAATCACAGACCTTGCTGAGGAAATAGCAAGCTCTCTATCTCCGAACCTTTTCTTAAGGTCAGGAGCATGTAACCTCAGATTCCTAGTCTCTTCTGTTTGCTTCGTGTCTCCTTCTTGGGGATAATAAGCTATTTTTGTCGATACGGGCCCATGAGTTCCAGTTAATAAAACTGGGAGATCTCTGCATGCTCTGTACTTCTGGTCCTTTTTCAGGTAACTGGCAGCTTCCGGATAATCCTGCTGTTTGCTGTCTCCCTCTGTATCGTCCTTCCGTTGAGCCTCCAGAGGAACATGATGGCTTCCATACAGTCGTTCAGTGCTATGGCGCTGATCTTTTACACTGTGTTTATGTTTGTGGTGAGTATCAATGGCGAGAAGACTTGGTTTCGTTAGTGGGGAGAGAGATGGTGGTTAATTCATCTGAAAGAGGTTCTGATCCTGCCAGCTGTTCCGTGTGGGAGGGACCCCTGTATGGCAGCCCAGTGGGGGTCTTCGTGGTCACAGGGGTTGCCCACCAGGAAAAGCATGCAGGTTCGGGATCCAAGTTTGAAATACACTACTGTATTCTTTTCTGTTAAATATTGCTGACTCCGCATGGGATAATTGTTGCTCTGATGCCCACACTCTTATCCACATGGAAATAAGAATATACAGCCATATTGTATAGGAATTGGCTAGCATATCTGTCAGTCACTATGAAGTCAATACATTGTGACAGCTTAACCAGATTGTGGCCTGCATTTCACTGTGTGTTTACGAGTACTCTGCAGCTTATAGCATTCTGAATTTCTGATTACATTTAGGGACAGAAGATGAGGGAAGCCATACACGGCTGCAAAATGAATTCTGTAATGTAATAGCTTTTTTCCTTAAAACTCATAAAACCTTGATCTTTAGGGAGAAAAATGATTATTTTTAAGGACACAAGTTTTTACACTGCTTGCAATTTTTGTATCAGTGGTAAATGTCATTGAGCCAATAAGCGTTTTTCTTCCTAAATGGCAGCACATTAAATTGCTTATGCAGTGAAGACCTCATGAACACACAGAGGTGGTGCAGGAAAAATGTTTGGTTTTAGGCCTTATGAAAAAGCTTCATCTTGAGAAAACGAGTACCAGCCAACTTGGTTAAATAGGAGGCACTGCTGAGTTTCCGTAGCTTACTGAGTTGTACCAGCTTAGAGGAGGATGTTGATATATTGAAGAAGGTTCAGAGAAGAGCGACGAGAATGATTAGAGCATTGGAAAATATGCTTTATAATGATAAACTCAAGGAGCTCAATCTATGTAGCTTAACAAAGAGCAGGTTAAGGGGTGACTTGATCCCAGTCCATAAGCACCTACATGGGGAACAAAAACCTGACTCTTTCAGTCTAGCAGGGAAAGGTGTAGCAAGGTCCAGTGGCTGGAAATTGAAGCTAGACAAATTCAGACTGGAAATAAGGCACAGTGTTTTTAACATTGAGGGTAACTAACCACTAGAACAGTTTACCAAGGTCTGTGGAGGATTCTCCATCACTGGTAATTTTAAGGTCAAGATTGGATGTTTTTCTGAAAGATCTGCTCCAGGAACTATTTTGGGGAGGTTCTATGGTGTGTCTTATACAGGAGGTCAGACAGGATGATCACTGTGTTCCTTCAGGCCTTATAATCTGGGAAACTCATCAAACGACACCATTAACTGTCAGTGGAGACTTTCATTCTCTTAATGGACAGCGGTACTGCTAGTCCCAAGTGTTCAAAATCATGTCAGGCCCCCAGAATATCCTCAGACTTTAAGAAATAGATCCTGAGTTCTTTTTATCTGGCCACCTGATTTCTGAGCTCCTAGGCTGCGCTTTGGTTGCCTCAAACTATTCTCTGTAAGTATGAGGGCTCAAAACGAAAGCTGTGATCATTACAATCACGTGATGCCAGGAACTGGGACGTTAAGAAAAACCTCAAATGTCATCAAAGTTGGCAACACTGACAGAATCTCTAGGAGTGTCAAACCCATTCAGACTAGATTATAAATGTTCCTGTGCAACCTAATGCCCATCAGTTCCCTTGTCCATGGCAGAACAGCTCTCATAACCCATCTTTGGTGCTTCTGCTTACCTCCTTGACATTGACCCTGGTCTTCAGAGCACTTGCATTGTCAAGGGGGCTTGGTTGGGCAGTATGCAGGTGTCTTGTCTTATCCGGGTGCACCGTTGCCTGTCATCCATAAGTAACATTCTCCTGTGTCTGCTGCTTCCAGTTTCTGTGGCCCCAGTGCAAATGACTGCTCAGGAGCAATCCGATGAGCTGAGCGCGTCCCTCAGGAACTGTTCTAACTCTGGGGTGTGTGTAGGGGGGTCGTGGTGCCTGCTAGCAGGATAGCATCAACCAGGGAATGGGATATGCCTTTTAAAATACCCTGATCTGCTTGGCAGCTGGGGTGACCCATACAGATCAGAGTAGCTGGAAGGTTGACTAACCTGTGTTGAAGGTGAGGGGCTGAGACTGGGAAATCTAGGGAATTAAATATCCAGCTGTGAGGTGCAGGGGAAGTTACTCAAAGCCTCTTCGTCCTCCCGATAGAGCTACCTTATGCCTGCCCTCCCTTGCTGCCTTGGCAATGTTCCTGGCAGCGTGCTCAGTCCCCTTAGGTCTGGTTTGGCGTCTCTGCTGTTCGGCTCTTAACCTCTTTTTTTCCTTTGGCTACAGATTGTGCTCTCCTCTTTCAAACACGGCCTCTTTGGTGGGCAGTGGCTGAAGCGGGTCAGTTACATGCGCTGGGAGGGCATTTTCCGCTGCATTCCTATCTTCGGCATGTCTTTCGCCTGTCAGTCGTAAGTACCTGCCGCTCTAGCAGTTGTCGTGTGGAGGGAGGTTTGTGAGGGCAAAGGGTCCCAAGGATCTGAATGGGATAGCTGTAGTTTAATCACAGTGTTTTACAGCCCACTGAAGTACAGCATCTCATTCAGTTGTGACTCTCTTGTTACCTCGATGGGGGAGGGAGTTAGGTTTCACTCAAGAATTATTGCACTTGAGCAGTTACTTGTTCATAAAATGCATTGGGTCAGGTGAATCCCTGGGGTGCCTTACGTGGCCTTCCTTGGACTTACACCAACTATGAACTTGACCCCTTGCTTGAAAATCATGGTTTCATATCAGGAAAAGAAACCTGGTTGTTTCCATCCTAACCACCGTCAGAGCTCCCCCGCCCCGTGGGCAGCCTTAGCCTCACCAAATGTAGCTGAAAATGTTTAAAAGAAAATGGCATAATTCTTGACTTCAGCTTGTTGCTTCCAGTTGCCCACTTCTTTTAATGAGGCTTGGGTTTTTGGGCGCCCAGAGGCCTGGTACTGAAGACAGGGTTATTTCCATCATTCCAGCAGCATTACCTTCTCCACCAAAATGACAAGAGCCAGTGATTCATGCCTGGTTGAAGCAGCAGCCAGCTCAAAAGAGATGTGTCAATCCCAATGTGGACACAAAAGAGACCTTCAGCATGAGGAAGACTGGCAGAGCTGGTCGTTCCAGCACACGCGCAGCATGCCAATAATAAATTAATGTGACAAATACAATTTGGTCATACTGCTGTGTTTACACCCACCTGTGAGATCCAAATCATCATTTCCCACTTATCGTCTCTCTTGGCAGCTTTGTTTCTAGCAGAACACGCTCCAGTCTTGCTGTTTAATGTTTCCATTATAATTGGCGACAGAAGTTGTGTTCTTTTACAGCTTTACCTAGTTGCCACTGTAGGGTTTTTTTTAAATAGAAAATTGTCCTTTTCTTGTGGTGGCCTCTTAGTAACCAGTGCACATTTGTAGGGAGTTGGAAACCCAGCAAAATTATATGGTCTGGACTAGTGTGTGCATATATCTATCTAAATATAGATTCTGTTATACCACTTAAATGCCAATCCAAACCTACAGCTAAAACCTATGTTTTTTTTCCCCCAAGCACCAGAAAAACATGCTCTCTCCAGCCCACGTGATGTCACAAGCATATTATTCTCTGACCGGGGTGTTTAATTTTGCTGACCTTCCAATCACCTTTAGAAAAATACATAATTCTAACATAAAAAACATATTCCTTCCCTCCAGACATATAAATGCAACATACAGTGGTGACAAGCAGAATGCACCATTATTCTCATTTACCTTGAATGTATGATCATACTTGTAGATTCAATTCCCCTGCCCTTTGAAATGTATATTAGCATTGCTGAGCTCAGAGAGGTGTCCTACTTTCAACCATTGTGCAGTGTGGTCTAGTAGATTAACCGGGGAACTGAGAACTAGGAATCCCTGAGTTCTGATACTAGCTCTGCTACAGTCTTCCCGTGTGACCTTGGGCAAGTCTCTTAACCTCTGTGCCTCTGTTTTCCCATCTGTAAAATGGGTTTATCGTATTTCACAGGAGGGTTGAGGAGTAATATGACTTGCACCCTGTGCAAACCCATTATCCTAGGTTCTGATGCCAGTGAAACTGGTGTAACACCATTGAGGTCACCAGTACACCAAAATCATCATGTGGTCCATTGGCTGCTACGGGTTTGGAGTGGCGCTCAGGGTCCAATGCAGCGAGGTGCTGGGAGGTCAGTGGCAGCTTGCGGGTACTCATGATTCAGGATAAGACCCTGAGTCTAGTCAAAAACCGAGATGGGCTTTACAGCGGGGATGAAAATACAGATTCACAGGAGAACGGAACGAGTTCTAGCCATCTCTGAAACGAACCCAGGGTTCTCTCGCTCCAGCTCGGACTTGTCTTGCTTGCGCCCTCTCTCCTTGTTCTCATCTCAGGAACACAAGAACTGTAAAGGGCATGTGGTCTGAATATTCTCAAATCCAAGCTGAGACATTATATTTACTTGATCACCAGTGATGTGAAGGTGCCTAAAATAATGGCATACGAAGCATTTGTCAGGAGAAGGCTTCTGGTCTTTCATTGGCCTTCCGCACGACCGTTCCGGTTTAAAAATAAAACCCAAGCACGTCGGGACGTGCTCCTGGCCGTGTGCATGTCAGACGCTTGCTCCGCTCAGAAGGGATTTTGACTGGCAGGGCGGCACGGGGGCATGTGGTCTGGATTTGAGGGACTCTGCAGCTGTGACTAGAAACCCAAGATGACTAGATGGGCACTGCAGTTCGACCACAGAAGGATTGGTTGCAACTAGAATTCACGTGGCACTTCCTCCCCCTTCCTCCCCCAAATGCCGTTCTGCTGCATTGCTCATAATGTGAGCCCGGACTAGAGAGCGGTGTCATCGCACACACTGACCGCTCTGCCTCCGCTCCGCTCCACCCCCCGCTGGGCCTGCTGCTATTTCGGAGGAAAGTGCATGATGTTTGGCAGTTGCTATATTCAGGGTTTTTATTTCAAGATCAGTGAAGAAGTTAAATTCTCTCACAGGGTCATGTAGGATTTAATCTCGTGGGTCCCCGTAAATACATGACTCTCACAGCGCCGTACGTGTGGTCTCCTGCACGCGTCTCGAGATGCAGTTTAAAGGGACAGCTCAGTTTCCTTTGTGCAGAACATTTTGGTGCGCTAAAGGTTAAGATTTTCCCAGCTTGGCGTCCGTTTCACACACTTGCTTTTAATGTCCATTGGAGTTGGGGGTACCCCCGGCCCGTCTAACTTACCCCGCCTCCCCTTGCTCTCTCAGTAGTACACAAGAGGTGGCCACTTGGATTCATTAGAGCAACAAGAGGTTAATGAGTTGCTAAAATATGCACCTGATGATGTAGAAAAAGTGGATTCCACGTGTGTTCCAAGTACATAAATACCCCCCAATCCTGTGTAATTGACGCTTCCAGCATTCTCTGAACTGGGCTCTCACCGCGGTGCTGAAATATGCCAGGCACTGTATTTAGTTCTGTTTGTTTAACTTTTCTTTTAGGCAGTGTGATGCTCTAACCCTCTTCCCGCTTTTATTCTGTAAACACTGGTTGCTTTAATTATCAGCACGGAGCGCTCCAAGAACAATAATCTCCGATGTGCTGCCTGGACCCGTGCCACTGGTGTTTCAGTGGAACAAACGGTCATTCATTTTGCAACACTTTTGAACCAAGATGTTTACATCACGCATTTAACTCCACGTGGTGGTGGGGGATGGGGAGAATGAATATTTTTGCAACACTTGAAATTGTGAGTGTTCTGAAATCTCTTGGCATTAGCAATATAAATTGTGGACTAGCCGTGTGTTTACGCTCTGTGGGGGGAAGGTGTCAGAGATTTTTCTCTGCTGGGCTGTAGCAAGAGAACTTAGGGAATGCGTTTGATTTTGCATCTCTCTGGAAAGTTTCCTTGAAACGGCTTAATATGTTAACCTGCTTTTCTGCAGCCAGGTCTTGCCGACCTACGATAGCCTGGATGAACCGTCCGTTAAAATAATGAGCTCCATATTTGCCTCCTCTCTGAATGTGGTCACCACCTTCTATGTTACGGTGAGAAGCCTCTACCCTTCCTTTCTCCTCCCTTTTCCCCCTGCCTCCCAAAAAAGTGACTTTTGGGATAAGCTTTGGAGCCGTCATGAGATGGGCCGGGCGTTATCTGCTCTAGAGGATGAAGTGTCTTTTTGCTGAAAGTGAAATAAAATGAAGGGGGCCGCACTGCAGATGCACAGAGGTGTTCAGAGAGCCCAGGGCTTTGGAACAATAGGTCCCATTGAGCAGAGCTGGAGTGGGGGCTTCAGTCTCTTCTTTTCCATGTGTAGTGGCTGGGTCTCGGTCTTCCAATCATGTAACTGGAAGTGGAGATGCCGTCCAATGAGCTGCCGTCTTTAGAGAGAGCTGCCCATCAGCCTGTTGCAATTGGAAGGTTATAAAGAAAGTTATGCCTCATAAAACTCCAGTTAATAAAATCCAGTTAATAATTCCCAAGAATAGCCTCCCATGTGAGCTAGGCGGCTGCATGGGATTGTATTACAGCCTCCCTCACTGAGGGGCTCAGGTTCATGGGACTCGGCAGCCATCTCAGCTGCAATGCTTAATCCCACTAGCAAACTCAGACCAATATAAGGCGCTGGGAAGGCAGCTGCTCAGCTCCCATTATCACCCATTCCAGGGGGTCCCCCAGTTAAACCCAGGCATACCTGCTAATAATGTCAGTGGCTTTTAGGTGAAAGCTCCTCCAGCCATCTAGTTTGATTAGCGAAGATATCATGGCTAGGCCGACTGGAAGATCTGCACTGTAGGAAGTTGCCACATGGTCCCTTCTTAGCTGGGCATTGCCCTGTTTTAATTGACATGCTTTGCTCTGTCCCACTTGTCTGAGTAGCTGTGGGGCTTTGCTTCTCTTCTGAAAAATTTCAAGTACATGCCACTCCTGCAGTCGCTCCCCTCTGCTCTCCCTGGCTTGGGAAGCAAAGTATCGTACACGCTGCCCCAGTGCCATAAGGATGGGTCCAGTGGGAGCCCCTGGACTCGGACTCCTGATGTTCAGAAAAGGCATGTGCGCCACCAGCACTCCCTTCCTTTCCCCATGGCGCAGGTGGGATTCTTTGGTTACGTGAGCTACACGGAAGCCATCGCTGGGAACGTGCTCATGAACTTCCCCTCCAACCTGGTGACGGAGATGATTCGAGTGGGATTCATGATGTCGGTAGCTGTTGGGTTCCCGATGATGATTCTGCCATGCAGACAGGCGTTGAACACCCTTCTCTTTGAGCAGCAGGTAAGACCCTCCTGCAGTCTGCTCTTGGCCCTGCACCATCCACCCTGTCACTTTTCAAAGGGCCACCTTTATTTTTTCCAGTCGACTGCACAGCTTGGTTGATGGCACTGTATTTCTGATTAGCTGCAGATACTTGGTATTGAGAGTGGATGAACCCTCAGCTCCATCCACTGTATTGCAGCTTCCAGTGAAACTGTAACCGTCTGTGGTGTGCTAATAGAGGCAGCATGAGGATCCCAGCAGAGCTGTTTATAAATCTGGCTCTGTGGAAGCGTGACTGTTCTGAGCAGTTGTTAATATGCAGCAGTTCTGGAGTCTTGTCCTCCTTGCAGAACACAGAATAATTGAATGGGGAGAGGTGCTAGGAGTGAAACCCCGGCATTTGCTCTGCCACCCCCTAAATAGAGGTCCTGTGCAGTGCTCGTTACCTGCCCCACACCTGGCTTATACCAAGTGTCATGCAGTACAGAGCCGAGGTTGTTCTCTCTCTGAGGAGAAGGAGAGGAAGAATTAGCCATTAGAAAGAGAGGACGCTCCTTATTTCCTGCTGCTCAGACCTAAATCCCAGCTCATGTCCGTATCTAGCTCAAGCTCATGGTCCCCATCTTCAGCGCTCTGGACAGGTTCACTCCTCCTGACATCTCTGCACCTGCTTCTTCCTGCTCTCTTCTTTAGCTCAACTTTGCACCTTTAGCTATCCTGCCCTGAACAGTCAGTCTCCCCTTCTCGTAGGCCAAACGTCCCCCTCCTTCATTCAGATGCTTCCGTTCCATGTCCTGCTTCCTCAGAACTGTTCAGTTATGATCAGCTATAGAAATACAACTTAAACTACATCACTCCCTCCCGCACTTTCCCCATTCTCGGAGGCAGGCCTTCTCCCGGCCCGGGGTGTATTTTGTGACTAGACAGTCAGTCTGATGTCTGCTGGCAGTAACATGTTCTCCTCGGTGTGTTGTACAGCGCTAAGCATGCTGTCGGTACTCAGTAAATAACAGTGAGATATTGTGGGAATGTTCTGAGACCTTTGTGTATTCAGCTAAAGAGAAACCTCTTGGGGCAGGAAATAAACCGCATGCAATTTAGAGCTCCAGATCCTGCCGCTGCTGTCCATACGATGCCCCTTGGCTCTGTTCTCATGTTCTGAGTGGTGGTGGCCCAGCTGGTGAAAGGAGTGTGGTCTGGAGCAGTAAGCCATGGAAATCGGGAAGTCCTGAGGTTTGATCCTGACTCTGCCCAGGACTGGCTGGATTATTTTGGGCATGTCGCTTTGCATTTGTCTGTACAATGGGGAGAATGCTAACCCACCTATCTCCTAGGTAGGTCACGTGTCTCAGTTCATGCTTGTGCAGTGCTTTGAACGTGCAGTGCTTTGAACACACACTGCTGTGGAGATGTGGAGGGGTGTTTTTAGCTGTGGGGACCTGTTGTGAACTAGGAGTGGCACCAAAAAATACTATTGACTGTTTGCAGAGCACAGATTCAGCTTGTTTCTTTGAGTCTACTTGTTTTACGAGGCAGTGGTGCAGAACGGTTTCCCGCTCCCCAACTGCACTCCGGTGGCAACTTGCTGGAGCAACAGCCGGCTTCCTTCCCTACTGACCGTGGGCCCCGTCTCCCTCATGTCGTCACCACCACTTGAACTTTCTCAGGCACTTGCCTCTGCTGGGTATTGCCTGCAAAGCGGGAAGGACAGTGGAGGAGGGTTTTGGCGCTAACGTTCCAAGACGCCGTTGTCAAGTTTACGTTCCGCACAGGATGTGAACTAGCAGCTCTGGCTGTTCTTGTGCAGGTTCGAGTTGAAGCTGCACATTAAAATTGCTCAGCCACATCTAATTGCCCTCTTACTGGGTACCTAGGAAGACTGTTGCGTGGGCAGGTGAAACCATCACCGTTCTAGTGCTGCATAGTCTTGTCTGGCTTATCTAGCAGGACACCCTGGGTAATTGCTTTAGAGACCTGCGAGTGTGAAGCAGGAGCTTAACTCATTGTTTTTGGCGTTTTTTTTATAGCAAAAAGACGGCACCTTTGCTGCGGGGGGTTACATGCCACCCCTTCGATTTAAAGCCCTCACGCTGGCCGTTGTGTTTGGAACCATGGTTGGAGGCATCATGATCCCAAATGGTAAGTGCAGAGGTGGGATAGAATAGAGACTGAATCGCCTAGTTGTTGTCCTTTCTCCCCGTTCCTCATCACCATGTTGTTCGTGCCCTGCTAGATCTTGTGTTCTCCAGAACACCCATTATTGATGGCTCTTTGGTCCTGCACTCTGGCATGTCCAGCTAGCACTGGCCGGGTCTGCACGCTCCCCATACACAGCCACAGAACAGCTGAGCCTGCGGAGGGGTCATTTGCTCTCATGGCACTGAGACCTGCAGGGAGGGGGACTGGGGAGGAGGTGCCCTTGCAGAAGGAAAGCCCATCAGGGACTTGCAGCTGGTTGAAGTCATTAGAAGGTGACTAAGTACTTGTGTGCTGCATAAATTGCAGTGACTAATTTTACCCCTGTTCTAGCTCTCCGCTGGCTGGAGGCTCATCTCGTATTCTAGTGGGTTGCTCAGAGCTGCAGTCTAAGTGGCACCGGGCCAACCTCCCTAGATGCTTTCCCTTCCTCCCAGGATTTTGCATACCTTTATTTATTATTGTTCTTGCTCTTTCTTGCCAGTGGAGACCGTCTTGGGCCTAACAGGTGCAACAATGGGAAGCCTCATCTGTTTTATCTGCCCAGCTCTTATTTACAAGAAAATCCACAAGAATGCCCTTTGCTCACAGGTCAGTGCTGATGCTAATTGACTTCTCCTCCAACTCGCTGTAGAGCCTGGGAACTTCGTTAGTTTCACTGCAGCAGGGGAAACTTGTCAACTCCCCGCTCCCCCATTCAGGTGGGAACTGTTGTGGTCTGCTGTGCTGACCAGAATCGGAGTTGTCGCTCAGTGAGCAGTGTGCCAGCACTTTTTCATCTCTGTAGCCGCAAGTGAAGCAGTCACTTTACATGTGAAATGGTGTTTACCAAACCCAGTCCAGTGGGCTCAGGGCTGTATTGCCATAGAATGAGAAATCCGGGCAGCATATAAAACCTTAACGGGCCTTAAGTTTCAACCTGTCTGGGCTGGGTAAAATAAACAACTCTTCTCTACAGGGGGGTCCTTGCTGCTGACCCTCCGCTTTCTGGTTTCAGCCAAAATAATAATACTCAAAGGGAATACACACACAGAGGTGTTGCTGCAGGAATTGATTTCTGAAAAATCGGGGTCATTCAGAGGCTATTGGTAACTTAGCTTTTCCCTTGCTCCAGTTTGGATCAGCCTCCTAGGGGACAGAAACAAAATGTCTCTTGGCTGGGTTTGATTTTCTATCTTGCAAACTCTGATTTTTTGGTAATAGAGCTGAAATTAACGTGCTTTGGTTTTCTCTCACAGTAACTTTATCTCCTAAAGATGTTTAACAGGCTTCTGTTGGGGCTCCAGCCCTGTCAGTCACAGGGAGTCAGATTTGTTAGTTAACTGCAAAATCCACAGGGGGAGAAGACATTTTTGTGGGTCCTACAGAAATAATGGCTTTTTCTGTTTAATGACCTGTGAGTTGCAAACACACATGAGACTTTTAAAGCAGAGTGTTGTTTTTTTCTATTGCTTTCCTTTTCCATCGTCTGACGCACCTTTCTGGCTCTCACGCTGAATCCTGACACTTTGGTCCTACTGGGGCTGGGCTGAGACCCCAAAGAAAGGGCTGAAGGCCCACCTGAATTTTCAGGGGAACAGAAGCACTTTCAAGGGTTGCTTTTCACTCCTGCTGAGCGGGGCCCTTCTCCGAGACAAGTGACCCTGCCCTCAGGGATGGGCTGAGCTGTTGGACAGGCTGCCTGGAGGGGACAGTCAGCTGTTCTCACCAAGCACTGAGGCTTCTGGACTGCACGGCCTGAAATGCTGGTCAGGAGAACAGCAAGGCAGATGGCTGTATCTTATAGAACTCCTCACCACGGCACAGTGGCTTCCGCAGAGTATGAGGTCAGCAGGTTCCCTAGGGGCTGGGGATTCATCCGGCCTACCCTCGAATGAGCCGTTGCCCATCAGGTTTGCATACTTGCTTTGCCCTGTTCTTGGAAGCATTCCAGCAGGGATCCGTGCCTCGCTGAAAAGAACAGGGTGATGCAGAACTTCTCCCCAGGCCTACAGCTTGAATGCTGGATTCTCTGCCCACCCTCTCCTTGCGCCATTTCTTCTGGAAGCCTTGTTTCATTTCTTCCAGGAAGCTCCCATGCAGCCCTTTGGCTTCTTCCTCCCTCCCGAGAAGCAGCTCTGCTCTCTCCCTCAACCCATCAACAGATGCTGTGGTGAGAAGTGAGAATGATGGGGGAGAAGGGGCACCAATGTGACATGTTTCCCACCCCTGGACAATAAACCTGCTGCCCCCCCCCCCCCCCCCCCCTCCGTGGGCCCCCCTTCCGCCTAGTTACCAGATCTGCTGGGTTTTTTTTTTTTTTAAAAAGATTTGAAATCCATCTTTGTGGGCCTCTTACTTTGTCTAAAACACTCATGATGTGATTCTCCCAGTGAGAGCAGTTCTCTCCCCATGCCCTCTGGTACTGGATTCTGGCTGTGTTATTAGTTACCGTGCCCAGACTCTTGGAAGCCCGCAAGCGTTTGGGGGACTCCCTGTCAGGCAGAGCTGAGTTTTACGTGCCTGAACACTGAAAGGGTGGCACCATTTAAACTAGAAAGTGGAGGAGTTGGAAGAAGGGTTGAGAAGTTCTTTTCCAAGGGGGTGGGGCGTTCGCATCCCCAGATGTTTCTGTTGGTCGGCAAAGGGCGTCTAATTCTGCCAGGGAGTTGTTAATTATTACAGACAGCTGGTCAGTCAACAGCTGGCAGCGAGCCAGAGTCTGGGAATTGCAGCTTGGATTAAGCTCCGGGGGTGGCTTAGTTAAAAGGCTTGGTGTGTTGGAAAGATGATCAGGTACCAGCAACAAGGGGAAGTTTAAAAGCTTAAAGCCAGACTCACAGAGGTGTGAATGAATCGGGAAATTGCCCCCTTTGTTGTGGTCAGCGTCATCAAGCGTGTCTTGTAAAGTGCAGGGCGCTCTCCGGCTCGGCATGGAACGGCAATGGGGCCATGGCATGTAAAGCTGCCATTTGGGAGAGTCGGGCCAGGGCTGCTAAAGGTCAGGTTAAGGTCTGTAAACAAAGGGTTTAGCTTCTGACAGGAAGGTGTTGGCTTCCATAGTTTGTTTGCGAGGCCCTTTCTGGTGAGGAAGTCACTCTCCTCCCGGTCTGATAGACTGGGGGAAATGAGGCACAGAGAGGCTACCCAAGGTCGCCTAGTGACCCCTCTTTATACTGAGCTCGTGGGGATGGAAAGTGGCTCTCTTTGGCTCTCCTGCCTGCTAGGACGGTGGCCAGACCCTGTCGTCTTGCAGACTTGTTACAGTTCTTAGAGCCTAAGGTCTTTGCAGCGCAATAGAGAACCCAATGACTGAGCAGGCGTCTTGCAGTCCTCCTCCATACTCTGATGGCAATTAGCTTTCTCCCCCCTTGGTGTTCCCTAACTGTGCTCGAGGTCCAAAACGGAGAAGGGTTAAGAAAACTTGCTACAGTCATTACCCCGGGCAAAAGCACTTTTAGATTCCTGCCGATGGCTCGAACACATCCAGAGGGAAGCACCTTGGGATAGTCTAACTTCTGTACAAAGGAGGAGTTAACACCACTGAGTGACATCAGCAAGCAAAAGAAAGTCTCCTTCCTCAGTGTAAATCCCCCCCCACCATGTTTAGAATGCTCCTCATGGTATGTGGGGCCTTAATGGGCAGACACATGTTTCCAAGGCCGTGGCCACGCCTGCCGCTCAGGTTTGCCCGTGCTCCCTCCATAGCCTCACGGTGAGCTGCTGTGGGCGGATGTTCTGCGACGGGTGAGACTTGGGAATCAGCTGTTCAGCAGCGCCCCGTCCTCTGTACAAAACAATCCGCTTGCACAAATGGGGGCTGCAGAGGGTGACTAACCAGATGCGTCCACCTTTGGGCCTATAGTTTGTTCAAGGCTCCCTGACGGGATGGGGCAATGAGGGGGAGCTCCCAAAGCCTTGCTGACACCAGCAGGAGGCTTGTCAATCACACACACGAGACTTTTCGGGGCGCATTTGGGCTTTGCCGTCATGTGACATGGAAACATCTGCTTGGGTCTCTGCTCTTCATTGTCGTTCTCTGGCAGTCCCCCTGCCATGACCCCGCAGTGATGCAGGAGCAGCCCGAGTTCCTTTATTCTTATTTAAGTGATCTCACTAAGATCTTGTAATTCTCCTCTTGGCATTACGGGAAGCCCAACAAGGGAGATAAATGTCTTTTTTTTTTCTTTCCCCCTTGCATTCCAGCGAGGTCATTCTGCTGTTCGACTGGCTGACTGCAAATGCTGTGTCAGATCCATTACCTTCGTGGGTAGTCACCTGCAAATGAGGGTGTTTTACAAATTAACCCTTTGAGTGATGTTGCTTGGAACAATGTTTGATTCTGGGAACTCTAAAACAAGCCCCTCTGGAGGGGGATCATTAATGAGAGGCTCCATGGGAATGTTTAAGACGTGTTTTCGTGCAGCGCTGCCAAACCTTTTCAGGCAACTGGACCAATTCACCGGACAGAGACCTCAGCTGGAGCAGCCGTTCCCTGCTGCCTTCCACTTGGCTAATTGTACTCTGACTAACGAGCTTTGTTCTGCAGTTGTACCACGTGCTGGACCTGGCCTTAAGCTGAAGTGTTGCTGTGATCTGGCCCCCACGCGCTGTTCACTGCGCAGCATTCCCTTTGGTTTGCTCTAGTCCCTTTCTCCAGGAGATGGGTCTTTGGGCTAGTTAGTGCCCTCTAACCACCCAGCCTTGGAAGGCTGCGTTCAGATTCTGACACAAGTGGGGGCTTTGGCTGTCCCTCAAGTCCCCGCACCCCCGGCTATGCACACCACAAAAAATGCTGTGTAGCTTGGCCCAGTTGGTGGCCTTCAGGACCTCTCCAGCGGTGTGTGGAGTGATCAGGGTGCTGGCCAGGCTGTGACGGGGAAGCTTGCCCATGTCCCTCCCTGCACTGTTGTTGGCTCATGGACAACCCAGCGTGCCTGTGAAAGCTGAGAGGCAGAGTTGTTCAGAATGTCAGAGTGGAAGATGTTCGAGGGACCAGGCATTGAATCCTGCGCTGAGATTGACCTCCTGGGTTCCAGCCCGCGTTGCCCACTAGGAATTGAATTTTCTTTTAAACCAACAGAACCACCATTTGCTGCAGGTTTAAAACGGTTCAGACTTTCAGCTGTTTCCGATCCCCCGTTTCTCCAGAGAGCTCTCAGGCCTGTGCTGGTGCTACTGGAGGCCTTTTGCAGAAACGCTCATTTCCGCTCTGGTGTTTCCGAAGGCAGGGTGGCAGAGAGCGAGTCACAGCGCTGCATTTACGCAGGGGCGTCTGGGGAAAGCAAATGGACAACGTGAAAACCGAGGGCAGAAATGGCAAAGCCCGCTGACTCTGCGTTTGGCGTACACAGCATGGCAGGATGTCCTGCTCTTTCTACACCCACGCATCCAGGCAGTGACCAGTTCTTGCTGCTTCTTCCTCTTCAGCGTCTCTAAGATCTGTCCTTTCCTGTCTGACCACACTGCTCACGCTGTCCAGAGCTGCCGCATCTCCTGTCTGGTCTACTGCAACCTCCTCCTCTCTTGATGTGCCCTCCCCCAAGGTACATTCCCAACAGCCGTCTCCCTGGCCCCACATCACTCCACACCTCTGAGTCCCTCTGCACACTCTTCCTTCTCCACCCCATCACCTCTCAGACTCCTGACACCCTTTGTAACACACTGCCATGTCTCACTTCCTCGGTCCACAGACGATGCCAGCCTCCATCACTGGTTTGCCCTCTTCACCCACAAGCACCTTCATGCTTTCTCAGAGGCATGAAACGCCGTTCCCAAACTAATCTGCAAAGCCTTCTCCCTCCCTTCAAATCCCTTCCAAAAGACCTACCTCTACCAAGACGCCTCTGAGTAACTGCCGCCTGGGAACAGCTACGTAGAAGCCCGCTAAGGACTTATATTTATTTTATATTCTTACGTTAAAATATATTCAACTGTCTCAGTCATCTGGCTGGGCTAGGTCAGCTCCTATTCATAATCTCGGTTTCCTCATCCTGCCTCCAATGCTCCTTCTGCATATCTCTACACCCTCTTGTTAGGTCTTGTCTTAGTTACACTGTAAGCTCCGCAGGGCAGCGGGCCGTCACTCTGTATTCACCTAGCACAATCGGACCTGATCCATGTGGGACCCTGGGCACTATCTCAGTATAAAGGCTTCACACGACCGTCTCCTAAACAAACTAGGGAAATACAGTCTAGACAGAGCTACTATAAGGTGGGTGCAAAACTGGTTGGAAGATCGTTCCCAGAGAGCAGTTATCAGTGGTTCACAGTCAGGCCGGAAGGGCATATCAAGGGGTCCTGCAGGGATCAGTTCTGGGTCCGGTTCTGTTCAATATCTTCATCAATAATTTAGATACTGGCATAGAGCGAACACTTATAAAGTTTGCAGACGATACCAAGCTGGGAGGGGTTGCAATTGCCCTGGAGGATAGGATTAAAATTCAAAATGATCTGGACAAACTGGAGAAATGGTCTGAAGTAAGTAGAATGAAATTCAATCAAGACAAATGCAAAGTACTCCACTTAAGAAGGAACAATCAGTTGCACACATACAAAATAGGAAATGACTGCCTAGGAAGGAGTACTGCAGAAAGGGATCTGGGGGTCAGAGTGGATCACAAGCTAATTATGAGTCAACAGTGTAACACTGTTGCAAAAAAAGCAAACATCATTCTGGAATGTATTAGCAGAAGTGTTGTAAGACACACTAGAAGTAATTCTTCCACTCTACTCCTCGCTGATTAGGCCTCAACTGGAGTATTGTGTCCAGTTCCGGGCACCACATTTCAGGAAGGATGTGGACAAATTGGAGAAAGTCCAGAGAAGAGCAAGAAAAATGATGAACGGTCTAGAAAACATGACCTATGCAGGAAGATTGAAAAAATTGGGTTTGTTTAGTCTGTAGAAGAGAAGACGGGGGGGGGGGGGGCTGCACATATTAATTTTCATGTACATAAAATGTTGTTACAAGGAGGAGAGAGAAAAATTGATCTCTTTAACCTCTGAGGATAGAACAAGAAGCAATGGGCTTAAATTGCAGCAAGGGAGGTTTAGGTTGGATATTAGGAAAAACTTCCTAACTGTCAGGGTGGTTAAGCACTGGAATAAATTGCCCAGGGAGGTTGTGGAATCTCCATCATTGGGGATTTTAAGAGCAGGTTAGACACACACCTGTCAGGGATGGTCTAGAGAATCCTTAGTCCTGCCTCAGTGCTGGTGACTGGACTAGGCGACCTCTCGAGGTCCCTTCCTGTCCTATGATTCTCTGAGTCTGTTTCTATAATAAATAAGAATGATCCACTTAATCTCTGTATGAGGGTCAGTCAGCCTGGTGCTTTAATTCCATCCACTGGTGGGGAGAGCTTGTAGCAAAGAGGCAAGTTTCTTTTGCAAATCAAGACACTGTCTCATAAAGGTATTTGTGAAATATGCCTAGCATAGTCTGCAGGAGAGGTGCAGAGGTATTTTCTGTTTTTGCACTTCATTATTCCCATTGCTTTCATGTCCCACTGTGAGAAGGGGTGTGTGTGGGGACAAACAGGTCTTTATGGTGGGGTCCAGGTCCCTTTACCATCATCCTCGCCAGTGACTCCAGCATAGCCTTTGGCGGGCTCTTTCCCTTCTACCAGTCGTTCTTAATACGGTGACGGCGTTGACATGCAAACCAGGTTCCAGGAGAAGCCGTTGCAGTGACAATTACTGTGATTAACTAGGTAAAAATAATACATTGGAGTGTAATTAAATCTCTAAACTGTCAGTGTTGTTGGCCAACAATCCATCCACTCGACTCTTTCAACTGGTACCTTTTTCAGCTAGGGCAGCTGTCAGTCATTTGGCAGCTCCAGTGCTCAAGCAAGGCAAACATTCCCTGGGCCTGTATGTATTTCTCAGTTACTTTTCATGTACCTCCATTGTCTCTCTCTCTCCCCCCCCCCCCCCCCTCCCCCCCCTCCCTCCCTTCCCTCCCCCCCCCCCCCCCCCCCCCCCCCCCCCCCCCCCCCCCCCGCACACACACACACACACACACACACACACACACACCCTGGGAGTATCCCATACATTCCCAAAACTCTGTGAGATTTCTAAAATCAAAGGTGCAGGGAGATTCTTATCTGTAATACTGGCACATTTGGATGTAAGCTCTGCAATGGCTGATGGCGTCACCTTCATCGTCCAGGCTTCTCTCCATGCTGGTTAGTTCACATTTAGAAAATAATACCCACTGCTCTCCCTTTGAGTGGGATGAAACCCACAACATTCCTTTCTCGTCTCAACCCAGATAGCATCTTGTTTCCCTTTTTGTACTGCTGGAAATAGACTAGTCATGTCCTCGGGCACTTGCACCATGCTGCAGTGTTAGGCTGTGGACAATGTAGGGAGATGTTAACAGTTGATTGGAAAGATTTTCTTTTGGTTGTAAAAGCTTAAACCAAACTTGGCCTGACCGTTGTCCTCACTTAACTGATAGAAATGTAATATAATGAGTCGTCACTTACAGTCAAAATTAATCTCCTTTTTAAAATCCTGTCTGGACATACTCTAGCCTGCCTCACATACCTCAGCTCCGCTCCCTTAGCAGTCGCCTCTTCTGGCTGCACAATCTGAGCGCTGTCATGCAAGAGCCTTCTCCTCTGCAGCTTCTAGCATCTGAAACAGCTTTTGAGCATCTCTGCTTCCTGTTTCAAACGGCCGCTGGAAACTACCTTTCTCTCCCATTTCCCTCTTAAGTTTTTCTCCCTTTCTACTACTTATTTGTTTCTGTATTTAAATTGAGCTCTGAATTGTTTTTGAGGTACAGTTTGCATGAAAGATGCTATTCGGAACAGTGACGTTTGCTTCAATGTATGTTAACTTTGGCGCTGACCCATTTGTTGTGCAGCTCATCTTGGGGATCGGCCTGGGAATCCTGGTTATTAGCACCTATACCACCTTGTCGGTGATGGAGGACACGCCCGTGAAAACGGAAGCAGTGGAACTGGCTGATCCGCTGAAAGAAGCCAAGAATGTAATAGACCAAGATCAAGTCAAAATACCAGGTATGTGTTCTGCGCATGTTACACTCATCTCAACCCCGCTCCCAAACTGTCTTGACCCCTTTAAAGCCACTTTTGTTGTGTCACCGGGAGCCTTTTCCAGTGCCTGCATCTCCAGGGCTTCCCGAGAAGGTTTCCAAGGAAGAGTGTAGTTGTCGCTTTCCAAAATGCCTCTTGGGTCTCTGCCCAGGACTTGGGTTTTCTTTTTTGTTCTGTTGTGAGCGGGGCAGCCCTCAGCCCTCCCCCTAGTGACAGGGCTCTGGAACTGCAGAAACCTTGTAATAAAAGGAGCTCTGTGCGCATGGGACTTGAGAGAGCACTGGACTGGCCACCTGTACAAAGGGTACAAGGAGCCAGAACAGGGCCACTTTCACCATCTCTGCCAGCATATTGCACCAGGTTTCAATAACAGGCCATTCATTGCACTCAAAGGTATGTACATTTAGGGGCACTGACTTTTTTTTGGTTGTGAAGATATAAATTTGGAGCCAGTTTTAGCCCTGACCAAGCCTGTGATTATGCCTCCGCTTTGTTTACTGGTTTGTGTTATTTATTATTTGTTTACTGTGGCCGTTGATAGAATTATGGCCTGACGCTCCCTTCCGCAGCTGCAAGCCTGCTTTGCAAGGCCATCGCTAGCAGGTGTCGATTGACCCTCCCCTGCCCCTCGTCTGTGGTTGTGTTCTGGTTTTTTCAAGTCTTGTTTGGCTTTGTTCGGGGTTTTCTTTTCTTCAGGGCTTTGAAACATCGCGGATATTGAGAACGGAAGCAAAAAAAAAAGTCGGGTTTTTCTGCTGGAGATTATAGTCCCTCCTAGTCGCTGGCTCTGTTCCTGGGGAACAGCTTTGAGCGTCTACGAGACAGTGGTGCTGCCTGCGATAACATTCACTCCTGCGCTGCTCCGTCCCTGCTGACGGTCAGATTTTATACATCCACAGTGCGCACCTTCCCCTGCACACAGGTGGCCAGGATGTCCGAGCGGAGGACACTCTCAGACCCTTAATGCACACGCAGTGGGGCCGGGCTGGGAGGAAGGATGCAATTTAATTCTTGAATCTTGGTTAATTTCAGAGCAGTAATGGCCAAAGAGCACGTGTTTGGTTCATTCATGTTTCGTAACGGGTAAAATAAACAGTCCCGTAAAAGACTGGGTCCGTTGGAGTTTGTCATAGTCGCCCCTCCGCTCCATCCCTGTGTTGATGCTTGTGTTCAGTCATAACCTAGGGAACCCTAGACGCCCGCCTACACACATTAGTTAGAACTACTTAGCCAGCATTAGCCCGGATCATTTGCCGCTTTGATGGTGGATTAAATAATCCCACCTTGGGGGAAGACGTTTTTAGATTTTAAATTTCCCTGGAGACTAGCCACGCAGCTCTAATGGGCATGTCCACAGCGAAACGTTGCCGATTTCTGGTTTGTGCCCGGTGAGAGCCGGGAGAGGCTCTGCCCTGGGAAGCAGAATAGGTGCTTTCCAGCCCTGACTTTGAAGCCTGGTCCTGTGGGAGGAGGAAGTGATTGGAGGGGACAATGGGCCAGGGAGAGGAAGTAGAACAATGAACTCAGAGGCTTCGGGAGCCTTTCAGCCCTGGGTAGCAAGCAGCATGCGGTGTTCCCTGTGAGCGAAGGCTGCTGCCCGCTCAGTCGCTGCAGCGCTCCTGATCCCTGGACTCTGCTTTCTTCACATCTCCACGTGACGCAGACTTGGCTGGCAATTAATTACCCTGCTTTAATCAACACCTTCCTGCCCCTCCCTTTGGCCCTGCCTTGGTTTGTTTTGGGAAGGGGCTAGTCTGTGGCCCTGAAGCCTCCAGAGCAGCTGCATCCTGTAATTCGAAATACGTGCCGGGCTGGGGGCTGCCCTGCTATCACCTGGGTGCCCTCCATCGGACACATCTGGTTCTTATTTCTTGCACGAGTCTTTACCAGAAACACATGGCTTCTCTGCAGGCAGCGCGCAGTTTGTTTTTAGCATGTTCTTGGGGTTTTTTCCCACCCCCCTTTTAATTGATGAGTTGCCTGGTTGAGGCAAAGCTTGGAGCTGAGCTGAGCCTTTTACCATTTTGCGTTCTCCGTCTGACTCTTGCCTGTCAGCATGTGAGAGGAGTTTTATTGGTCTCTTTGATGTTGTGGAGACCAGAACTGTACAGACTTTCATTAAAACCCTGCCCTGTGGGCCCTGGGATTATGAATATTAGAACATTGCCCTTTTATGTGAACACGTATTGACCAGTGAACTCTGAATAGTGTTTTCACTAATGACACCCAAGTGCCCATTACGGCCCCTGCCTGTATTGCGTGAGGTTTACTGTCAGCGGCTCTTTGGGAAATGTTCTGCTATTACATACAGTGGGTATGTATGTTAAAAGGTTGCTAAGCTGCCTGTGAAAGCTCATGAAGGCAATTATCCGTTTAAAAAAAAAAAAGCTAATTAGGCAATTTCTCTCTGTATTTGAAAGCACCCCAGAGGGTCTCATGGGGCGGATTAAGATTTTTTAATATTTTTCAGCTCCTTACTTGAGTGTTGCGGCTTCATTTTATTTTATTTTTTTTCATTGTGCAATATCTTGTAACAAAGGTCTGATTCATGCCCTTTATGTGACAGGACAGCAACCTTTCCCCGCCACTCTGCGAACCCTTGTGCTTCCGCTTGTTTGAGCCAGGGGTGTCTGAGCCAGTATTTCACGGGAGGTGCCCCCTAGTCTGTTTCACATTTAACAGGACTTGCTTGGAACTGGGGGCACTGTGCTCAGAGCTGGGTTCTTTCCTTTGCCACCAATATGTGGGGTCTCGGTATCCATACAGGCTCATGGAGGCAGTGCCACTCGAGCAGCTCAGCTTGACCCTGTAGTCTGCATTCCCCACAAGAAACCTGCCCAGATCCCTCGCTGGTCCCCGCTATCTGAGGAGCAGCCCCGGCGTGTGTGCAGTGTGGATTGGCCCCAGTTACTGTACTCCCTTCGCTCCTGACGGCTGCAGGAACAGCTTGCCTGCTGTAGCACTCCCTAGTGCCTTTGTGAGGGAGCTTTTAATAGGGCCTCTGACACAGAAAAGGAACTCTCACCCTGGTGTAATTTTGGTTCATTTTTACGGCTGGTGTGTCAGGAGACAACTGTGAGCTAATTTCACTGATGCCATTCGATAACCTTGTGAAATCTGTCACCATTGCAGAGCCCGGGGAGGGGCGGCACGGTGCGCTCTGTAATCACTCGTTCCCCTTGGCCTTGGAGAGTGTGGGGACGATTCCCCAGCCCAGATCAGGGCTGGACTGTGGGCTAGACTCTCTAAGTGCCTGCTGTTCAGACATGCTCAGCACCTCTGAAAATCAGGGTCCAAGCCTTTCCTTGGTTTTCTGAACCATTCAGCCACCGATCCCCCTCCACCCCCAGCCCCATAATTGGAGGCTCCTTTTGTAGGGCTTCCACGAAAATGAAACCACTTCAGTACAGTGCTATTGGGAGCCAGGTTAAAATGCTCAGGTCTGTTCAGGTCTTGCAGCCTTGTCAATGAACAGATTCTTTTTCCAGAAGAGTTGAACGTTGACACTTATTACCTGCTAAGTGTTGACACTGTGGTCGGCGTCTCCAAGGCTCAGAGAGCCCCTGCCCAAGGAACTTTGTTCCGCCGGGCATGCCAGCTGATCAGGCTTCCCTGCCAGCTGCGTGCCAGCCAAATCGTTTTGATCATGTTGAGGCTGGGCCTGCTTCATTCTAACCTTTCCTCGCTCCAAGGCCAAACATCTTGTCATGCAAAGAGAGGGATTGGGGTTCTGCAGCAGTGGTGTGAGGGTAGAAACGCCCCTGACCTCAGCCTAGGAATTTGGGGCGGGGGGGAAAGCTTCCTGGAGGCTGAGCTTGGACTGATCCGGTCCTAGGAGCGGATCTGAGGACTACCTTTGATCAAATAACAGGAGTACTTGTGGCACCTTAGAGACTAACAAATTTATTAGAGCATAAGCTTTCGTGGACTACAACCCACTTCTTCGGATGCATATATATGCATATATATGCATCCGA